TTTTTTGTGACATGTTCATTAATCTATCTTAGAGATACATTATTTAGGGTATTTACCTTAATGACCAAAATGATATTGTGTTGAAAGTTTTTCTTTATTTTTTCTTTTTTAACGATTCTTGAGTCCATATTGATACTTTATTGTCAACTAAAGTCCGTTCACATTAGGGTTTGTGTTTTACAGTTCTACAAAATAAAAAAAAGGAATAAAGAAACATGTATATAATACAAAATATACAATATAAATAATAAAAAGGAATATAGAATGAAAAAGTAGACTGGTTTTCAGCTACCAGAATAGGCTCAGTTTCACTATTATACAGAGAACACAAATTGAAATTATGAGCTACCATCTTTCTAATGTGAATTTAGACTTGGCTATCACACACTGCTGTAAGATTGTAGTNTAAAATGCTTTACTATTCAATGAGTTGATACATGAAGAAGTCCTTAAAATATTTTTGTGCATGAGTGCTCAATAAACGTTGGCTGCTATTGTTTCATTGCTTTGTAAACAATATATGGTGGGCTAAGCACCCTGTTCTTATACTTCTTTTGGTACTTCATAGCCACCGTATATTTATTTTTCCATATGAATTTTTAAAATCAGCTCGTCTCATTCTAAATGTAAAGGAATCCTGCTGATATTTCTACTGAAATTACAATATCTTTATATGGCTCTATTAGGCAGAATTGAGAGTTTGGTGACGTTGGGCTTTCTGTCTAAGAACATGGTATGTCTTTCCATCTATTCAGGTCTCTTCTTGTGTGTAACTTAGCATTTTTGATTATTCTTCCAATAGTCTTGTCCTGTTTTTGTTGTTTTTCCCCAGGTTATTTGTTTCGTTTTTCTACTGTAAGTAGAATCTTTCATTCTTCACATCTTGCAGTGGTTCTTCTATGTGTACAACAGCAGTAGTAATAATAATAGCGAAAATGTACTGAGTATTTACTCTGGGCAAGGCAATGTTATGTTCCATGTGTAACTCAGTCTTTACAACAAAGACAGGTATTACTGGGTCCTTGTTTGTACACAGTGGAATCTACTCTAGTTACGTTAAGCATAAGAGGGTCTATTCAAGGGATTCCCATCATTTATACTCCCCAAGAGGGTCAGAAATCCATTTTTGAATGCATCACAGCCAAAAAAAAAAAAAAAAAAAAAAAGAAAAAAACCAGCCTGGAGAAAGGCCCCCAAAAAATTATGAGCTACCATCTTTCTAATGTGAATTTAGACTTGGCTATCACACACTGCTGTAAGATTGTAGTACTATGGGGCTTCTATAGGTGTGCGGTCTAATTAGAATATAAATTAACTAAAATTTTTAAGTTTAAAACTCAACTACTCAGTCACACTGGTACATTTTGAGTGTTCAATAGCCAGAGGTACCACGTGGCTATAATACTGGCCTGCATTTACATTTCTGTCATCACAAACGGTTCTAGTGGACAGCTCTGCTCAGGAGATTTCATATAGCAGATACTATATACACGGGGCCAAAAAAAAAGGTGCGTGTGTATTTATTTATAAATATATTCATACACATCCTTGTAAATACACATATATTTATATTTACTGCCACATACTATAAGTCGTATAAACAACATAAATGCAAAAATTTTTAACAACACAACCGTATAATCCATACCTAAGGGAAATGGTTAAATAAATAATTACTTGCATACTATAAAATACGATGCCTCTATTCAAGGCAATGATCTAAATTTACATAAATGACCTAAAAATTATTTACAATATATTGTTTAATGGGAAAAAAACAAGTATCAAAATGTAAAAGAGACTACTTAGCTATTTTTAAAATATGTCATACTTTCTACACTTCTAAAGGTGTCCCACGAGATATAGAAAAAGCCATACCCGGTCCCGCCTCAGGAGGGGATTGTTTAATGGGAAAAAAACAAGTATCAAAATGTAAAAGAGACTACTTAGCTATTTTTAAAATATGTCATACTTTCTATACTTCTAAAGGTGTCCCACGAGATATAGAAAAAGCCATACCCGGTCCCGCCTCAGGAGGGGAGTGCGCTGGAGAAGTGTGCAGGTGGAGGGGAACGCCTCCTTTGATTGCTACTCGGTACCATCCTTCATGACACACGGGCCTAATTTTCCTAAATAAAGAAACATGCGTAAAAGAAGGCCAATCCCATGAGACATGGTGTCTAATATGCAGTTGCCCCAGAGTTTGGAAAACAGACTTTACTGTAGCAAGAGAAACTGATGAATTAGTGTCTTTCCTCGGAAATTCTCCAAACACCCTAAAGGAAGACGGTAAGGAGATGAAAACGACAACAGACACGGGAGGCAGATTCCATTTGCCCTTCTGCGTTTCCGCTGCTGGGTTTTGCTTGAGAAGATCAAACAGATTTTCAGACCGAGGAAACTGCAGTTTCTGGCTTCCATCCTGAACTAGGAGCCCAACACACTTGGTGATCCTTTCATTCTTCCCTAGTCAGCGGTCTCCCGAGTTCTCTTCGTCATGCCCTTCATCTCCACCAGCTGTCACTCTCAGCAGCTGACGTCACAGACAACACTGAAGCCTTCCACTGGCGCTCCCTCATTTTCTCCTCGCTGTGTTCATGCAGATATCTGCTCCTCCACGGGTCATTGCAAGCTTCTTTCCTTCAGCCTGACCTTAAATCCCAAAGTTCCTGAGAGCTCCACCCTGGTCTGTTTCTCTGCTCATTCCACACATTCCCTTGAGGCATCGTCACTGGCAGTCATGGCTTCAGTCACCACCACTATGATCATGACTTCCAGTTCACCTCCAGCCCGGGCCCCTCACCCCAGATGACGTTGTCCCTGCAGCTGACTGCAGTTCAGAAACCCCTTCTTCAATGCTCCTCCACGAGCACCTGGAAAATCTGTGTTCTCCAAGTGGAGCTTGTCTTATTTCTTCCCCTTCACCGAATCCACCTGTTCTGATCTTTCCCTTCCCCACGTGACTGCAAGCATGATACGCGCATTTGCCTTCGCCAGAAACATAAACTTTCTTTTTCATTCTTGCCGCTTTCATGCTGGGAGAATCCACTCAAGCATTAAGGCCAGCAGAGCCTGTGTTGCTTCCTATCTTTGGAAGCTGTCAACTTTTGTCCTTCCCAGAGAGGCAACAGAGCTGACCGGTGAGAAACAAGGGCTCTGGGCAGAACTGCCTAAATGTGTGCAGAGACTGTGCCACGAACATCGCCATCTGAGCCAAGGTACAGTTTCAGCGTCCCCATGTGTAGAATATGGGCGATAATAGCGGTGCCTGCAAAAAAGGTCATTGTGAAGATTTAGTCGGTCGACTCATGCAAAGAGCTTAGAACGGTGCATTGCACACAATAAGCCTTCCCAAAATACTGTTTACTATCAGCCCCAGTGCCACGATATCTGCCCACAGACAACATCGCTGGTCCGGACTGTGACAAGAGCTTCTCAACTAGTGTGTCTGGCCCCAGCCTGGTCCTTTTCAAGCTTTCCCTGTAAAACAGCCAGATCGAATTTCCTAAGAGCATACTTGGAAATGTTCCTCCTCTGTCGGAACCCCTGCGGCTCATCTCCTGCCCCTGTGATGGACGCCCTGCACGGACGACGAGCCCCTCCGCTGTCTAAGCTGGGGTCTTCTCCCTGTGCGTCTCAGCCTCATCACTCACGCCGCAAACGTAACCACCTTCTTGCCTTTCTCTGAGAGCTCCTGGCTTTGCTCCTTAGACAGCTACTTTTTCTTCCCAGATTCTCCCAGCGCTGCACGGGACGCAGAAAGTCACGCTGATCCTCGTCACGCTGGGACACGCCGCAGGAAGAACCAGCGCGCAGAACGAGCTCAGAATCTTTCTGTCGCCCGGGTGCAGCGCAGGAGCCGCGGGAGCTTCGCTAAGAGGCGCCGGCGGCTGAAGCAGAGGGGCTGCGCCGCAGGGGCTACACCGACACTCAGGCTTGTCTCGACTCTGCGGGTGCCGGTGCTCCTTCCTTTTGCCGCAAGCCACCCCCGCGGAAAACTGGGAACGGTGCGACAGCGAGGTGAGCACAGTGGCCCCTGAAACACCCCACGTCGGCCTGTGTCCCAGCGCCTGCAGAGACACACCGAGTGGCGCAGGAGGGCGTGAGCCTTCGGCAGGTTCGCGGTCGTCCCTCGCGTTGCGCTGTTCGGGCTCCGTTTCCGACGCTGCTCTCCGCCCCTCTCCATCCCACGTGCCAGCAGCTCCTGTTTTCTCCTTCATTCTCGCTCACCTTTCCCTGTTTCTTCCACGTGCGCCCAACGGCTCCGCCCAGAAGACGAACTGGGTGCGTTGGGCCGGGCGCGCGCCCCTGGAGAGGCGGCGGGACGCAGCCTGGGCGGCCGGGCGGCCCCACGCCCTGCTCGTGGGGCTCCGCGCTGTGCGCTCCGGCGCCTCTGGCGGCCGTCCCTGGAGCTCTGTCCGACTCGCGACGCCCCTGCCGCTGGGACTGAGGAGGGAACCGACACTGAGGAGGAACAGACCATGAGGGCGGCGCGGATCCCACCCTCCCGAGGCCGCTCGCTCCTCGTGCTGGTGATGGCGGTGCTCCTTGCTGACTCTCTTGACGAGGATTCCCTTTTTCACCCTGAGTGGGGCTTTGACTCGTACGAAATCACCATCCCCAGGAAGCTGAGCTTCCGGGCAGGAGAGCCGGGTGTGGTCAGTCCCGTGTCCTACCTCCTGCACTTAAAAGGCAAGAAGCATGTCCTCCACCTGTGGCCCAAGAGGTTTCTGTTGCCCCGGCATCTGCGTGTTTTCTCCTTCACAGAACACGGGGAACTGCTGGAGGATCACCCCTATATACCCAGGGACTGCAACTACATGGGCTCACTGGAAGGGGCTCAGGACTCTGGCGCTACTGTGAGTACGTGCATGGGGGGTCTGCGAGGCATACTGAACATTGATGGCGAGCATTACCAAATGGAGCCCCTCAAGGCCTCTTCCAGTTTTGAGCATGTCGTCTATCTCCTGAAGAAAGAGCACTTTAGCAATCAGACCTGTGGCTTAACTGATGATGAAATAGAACGGCAGATGGCCCAGCATGAAAATACGGCTAGGGTGAGGGACTATTCTGGATCCTACATGCACCCAAAGTACATTGAACTGGCTCTGATCTTTGATCACAGTACGTATATGTACAGGAAGTTCAATCTTACTCGAGTCATAAATGATGCCATTCTTCTGACGGGGATTATGGACTCCTACTATCAAGATGTCCAGTTGAGGATACATCTAAAAGCTCTTGAGGTATGGACAGATCATAACAGAATTTTTGTTGGATTTCCTACTTTAGCTGAAGTTTTAGGCAGATTTGTACTGTATAGAAGAAGTGTGTTCAATGCTCGGCTTCCAGCAGATTGGGCTCATTTGTATGTTCAGAGAAGATACACGGATGCTCTTGCATGGTCCTTTGGAAGAGTGTGTTCTATGGACCATGTCGGATCAGCAAGTAGTATTTTAGATGCAAATATCCTTGGACCTGCCACTTGGACTTCTCATGAATTGGGCCATGCTTTGGGAATGGCACATGATGAAGAATATTGCCAATGTAAGGGTAGGAAGAATTGCATCATGGGCACAGGACGTACTGGGTTTAGTAACTGTAGTTATGCCGCTTATTTTAGATACACATCTTTGTCAGCCAAATGTTTAAATAATATCCCAGGACTAGGTTATGTGGTTAAGAGATGTGGGAACAAAATTGTGGAAGACGATGAGCAATGTGATTGTGGCTCAAAAGAAGACTGTCTAAAAGACCGATGTTGCCAACCAAATTGTAGGTTGAGGCAAGGTGTCAACTGTAGCTTTGGACTTTGCTGTCATCGCTGTCAATTTCGCCCCTCTGGATATGTGTGTAGGCAGGAAGAAAATGAATGTGACCTTGCAGAGTACTGTAGTGGGAATTCAAGTTACTGCCCAAATGACTTGTATAAGCAGGATGGAACCCCTTGCAAGTACAAAGGCCTTTGTTTCCGAAAGGGGTGTCGATCCAGATTTATGCAGTGCCAAAGCATTTTTGGACCTCATGCCAGGGAGGCTCCTAATCTGTGCTATGATGCAGTTAATTCAATAGGTGATCAATATGGCAACTGTAGGATTAATGGAATTGGTGACTTTACACCGTGTACCGGGGAGAATTCAGTGTGTGGCAGGCTACAGTGTATAAATGTCAAAACCATTCCTGATTTGCCAGACCATACTACTATAATTTCTACTCACTTGCATGCAGAAAATGTCATGTGTTGGGGCACAGGGTATCATGTATCCATGGAACCCTTGGGGATACCTGACATTGGTGTGATAAATGATGGCACATCCTGTGGCGAGAACCGGGTATGTTTTAACGGAACTTGTGTCGATATCTCAGTCCTGAAGTTTGACTGTCTGTCTAAGAAGTGCAATGGCCGAGGCGTTTGCAACAACAGAAAAAGCTGCCACTGCACGTATGGCTGGGCCCCTCCGTTCTGTGAGGAGGTAGGGTTTGGAGGAAGCGTTGACAGTGGGCCTCCAGGACCACTGAAAGTGGAGGCGCCAGCATCAGTTCAGATTGTCTCCTTTATGCTACTGCGCCTCATTTTGTTAGTTGCCTCAGTGATTTTTGTGTTTTTCAGGCAAATGATAGTAAAGTGGTTAAATCTCAATCAGAAAAAAACACCACCAGGTAACACTCAACGTGAACCATCTAAAGCAAAGACTGGAGCTGAAATGTCCAACGTGAACACTGGAGAGGAAGAACCTACAAAACCCCCTGAAGATAAACAACCCAAAGCAAAGAGTGTCAAGAAACCGAAGAAGCACGCAGGCAACCCCCAGTCAACCAGTAACATGTGATCGTTCATTGGACAAGCTAATCACTTACCCAAATGGCTCTGCAGTCTTCTCTCCATACTTTTTTTACTTAAATTTTCTCACAAGTTTTGATCAGCAAATAAATATTCTTCTTCTGGACACACATCGGTGCATTTTATCTTCCTACCGTTCACTTGCTCCTCGCTTATGATCGAGGTTGGAATACCCTGAAATGAATGGCGCGACGGCTTCTCTGGACACTGAAGCTCTGAATGTGGTCTTCCAGAGGATTGCGGTGGGTCTCAGAGGACAAGCGTACTTCAGCAAGCTTGTGGAGAGATGCGTGTCATCTTTCAATTTTATTTTTCCACAACTTTTTGAAGTACCCTCATAGAGCCCTGTCTCTCACAACCCCAGAGAGCAAAGTGACCGTCCGCCTCTTCCTCCTCCTGCCCCAACTTGTTCAACACGAATGTCCGCACCTGCGCCCTATGCCGAAGGGTACATGTTGACAACACGCAGTACAAGGGGTGTCCCTTCCATGAGCACGTAGAGCCCTGTCTCTCACAACCCCAGAGAGCAAAGTGACCGTCCGCCTCTTCCTCCTCCTGCCCCAACTTGTTCAACACGAATGTCTGCACCTGCACCCTATGCCGAAGGGTACATGTTGACAACACGCAGTACAAGGGGTGTCCCTTCCATGAGCA